CTACCTCTGAAGCATGGACATGGTTTGGTTATGAAAGAAGTGACGCGGACCAGAAAACTGTACTATGCAAATTACGCTGCAAACCGCTCACCACCAAAGACTCTAACACGACAAACTTCTTCTACCACCTACACAAGAATCATGTGAAAGCGTATGGAGCGAGTTTATGGATGGGAAGCAAAAAAGAGCCGTCAGGTGCTGAAAATAAACTTTAGACTCAAACATTAGAACAGGCTTTTCCATGTAATAAATACATACAAATAGAATTTGGAGCCCCTGTTACAACTTATGTTTAAAAATGTATAGCTTCATGCTTCGGTCAAAGTGCTCGACTCCAGGTACACAACGCCCAGCTGAAAATACTTCACGCAAGTCGAGTTGCCCGAAATTTACAGAATTTACAGAAAATGCCCTATTTTGTGATATCTATCGTTATCGGGATGAAAAATGTCCTATATTGGGATATGAGATTTTGGTGATATCGCACAGCCCTGAATCCCATACGTCGCTTGACAGTGATCCTAGTATGTGTGGTGACGTCTTACTGTGTGCCCTGCTTGCTCTAGCAGAGCTTTGACCTCTCTGACGCTTCGGGCCATGCTTGGAGATGGATGCGTGTAGCCATCGCTTTCAAAATAACCAATCCTTAGAGGTCTGGAGCTTCTGTATATCTAAGGGTGAAGAATTTTCATTTCCTGAGTCAATTAAATATAATCAGATGTGTTTGCAAAGTTTAAGATTACAGCCTGTAAAGAGTAATATAAAGTGAAGCATTAGGACAACTATGTATCAGTTTAATTTGTAGCTTTTAAACAAAAGAATAATAATTAACAGATTATATGAGTCCCACAGTACAGGACACACCTCCATGTTAAAAGGTAATGGTGGAACAGTGGGGTCCAAAGAAAACATGTGGTCACAAAGAAGTGCCTGCATGCACAGAGCCAGGCTGTCCACATCTCTTGCCATGGGTCCAGGAGATGACGACACTAGTTTAATATAAAACAAGAAGCAGTAAACAAAATTCCCAGACTGTGGAATATTGCAAGACAGCAGTTATGTAACGTCACATTTTACTTTGTTTAGTAAGTAGATATGTTTCTTACCTGACTTTTGCCCTCGATAAATTGGACGAA